TATGATATGTCGGGTTAGTTGGTTTGGGTCCGGAAGGAATTCGGAGTGAATTGAGACACTTAGTCTCTTTATTTGAAACTTAAGTTGGAAAAGTCAACCGGATGTTGACTTATGTGTAAATGATCTCAGATTTGAATTTTGATGGTTCTGTTAGCTTCGTTAGGTGATTTTGGACTTAGGAGCACTTCCGTAATGGGATTTAGAGGTCCGTAGTAGAATTAGGCTTGAATTGACAAAAGTTAGAATTTTGGCAATTTTGGCCGGCAGTGGAAATTTTGATATCGGGATCGGATTGGATTTCTGGAAGTTGGAATAGGTTCGTGGTGTCATTTTTGACTTGTGTGTAAAATTTGAGGTCAATTGGGCGTGGTTTGGTAGGTTTCGGCATCGTTTGTGGAATTCGGAAGTTTAGAAGTTCTTTGGCTTGAATCCGGGGGTAATTTGGTGTTGTGATGTTGTTTTGAGTGATTCGAAGGTTCGACTAAGTTCGTATGATGTTATGGGACGTGTTGGTATGATTGGTTGAGGTCCCAAGGGACTCGGGGTGATTCCGGGTGGTTAACGAAAGGTTTAGAACTTGAAAAATTCAGCTGAAGCTGCTGCTACTGGTGTCTTCTGCACCTGCGGAGTGGGAGCCGCAGGAGCGACTGAGGAGCCGCAGGTGCGGCCATAGAGGACTTGAGCAGGAACCGCAAGTACGAAGGTATTCCCGCACCTGCGAGAGTCGCAGATGCGGGTAGGCATGCGTAGGTGCGAGAGAGAGAATCCGCAGGTGCGAGGTAGTTTCCGCAACTGCGATGATCGCAGATGCAGTCGGGAGTCGCAGAAGCGGTCCAGGGGTTTTAAGTAACTTTCCGCAGAAGTGGAGATGGGTCCGCAGATGCGGCGTAGTAGAAGCGACAAAAGGACCGCAAGTGCAGTTTCACTAGGCAGAATGTATAAATAGAGGACTTTGACATTTTTCCTCGTTTCCACAATTTTGAACTCGGACTTTGGGGCTTTTGAGGTGATATTTGAAGGAAATTCAAGGCTATTCACTGAGGTAAGTTCCTTGAGCCTAATTATCCTTAGTTATGGTATTTTTCCGTTGATTTCTCACCTAATTAGTGGGGTTTTAGAGTGAAATTGGGGGTTAGAGCTTGGGATTTTGGAGAGTGAATTTTGGGGATTTGAGAGACAAATGATGTCGGATTTTAATGAATTTAGTATGGTTAGACTCGTGAGTGAATGGGTTTTCGGGTTTTGTGATTTTTGTCGAGTTTTTGATAGCTTTCTTGTGGGATTGATCCCTTAAACCTATTGTAATGGTGTTGTACTGATTATGACTAGATTTGGAGCATTTGGAGGCCGATTCGAGAGGCAAGGGCATTGCGGAGTAGGATTTCTGCGCGGTTGAGGTAAGTAACAGTCTTAAATCTGGTCTTGAGGGTATGAAACCCCGAGAAATTCATATGATGTGGATATTTAGAGGTGATGCGCATGCTAGGTGATGGGCGTGTGAGCGTGCACCGTGTGGGATTGAGACTTGGTCCGTCCCGGGAGACTGTAAAGTTGAATAGCCATTTTTATTACTTGTTTTTCCTTGTCTTGAGCAATTGACTGCCTTTCATGTAAGCAACCATGCTTGGGCCATATGATATCACTGTTGGGACCTGCAATGGTCGTATACTTGTTGAATTGACTACTAAATTGTTGTCTTGTACTCAGTCACCGTTTGCTTATACATTATATCTCAGCTCTCTCTCATGCCTTGCTTAATACTTGTTATATTCTCCGTTTGGGCGTTTATTGTGATATTCATGAGGCTGGAGAGGCTAGTGACGGATATAGGTCCTGAGTGCCGGGTTGAGAGCTATGTGAGATATATTGGATCGGGTTGCAAGCCGCAACAAGCCTTCGGGCCGTGTTATCGGATCGGGCTGCACGTCGCAGCAGTATTGGGTCGGGCTAGACGCCGCAGCAATATAGCGTTTGGGCTGTAGGAGCCCCTCCGGAGTCTGTACACCCCCAGTGAGCGTAGGTACCTATTGAGAGTGTGTATTGAGGGTTGAGAGCTGAAAGTATGAGCTGTTGAGATGAGTTGAGTGACTGCTGCCTCGGTAGGCTGTACTTGCTTTTATTTATTGTTGCACTTAGTTGCTATCCGATGTTGTTGTGAAATTTCTGGAAGATTCATATCTGTTTTACTTGGGCTCGAACTGATTTGACTTATACCACTGGATTTGAAAGCATGTTCACTCGTTACTGAAAACTTTTGATATGAACTGTATTTTTTTATAGCTCGTCATTGCTTCTCAGTTCCTTATTTAATTCTGTTACTTGCTGAGTTGGTTGTACTCATGCTACACCCTGCACTTCATGTGCAGATCCAGGTGTGTACGGTTCTGGCGATTGCTGAGTTCGTGCGCGGGCTGATTATCGGAGACTTACGAGGTAGCTGTCGGCGTCCCCAGTCTTTGTTTCTCCTTTCTTATTATCTTTTCTCTCTTGTATTGCCATTTGGCACAGACTGTAGTAGACTCTGATTCTAGATTGGTTATTAGATGCTCATATCTTAGTGATACACCGATGTCGGGCTATTTTTTCGCACTTATAATTTGGGTTGTATTCCCCGTTCTTATGAAAAACTCCTGTTATTTTAAATGCCTTAATTCATTTTTGTTAAGTTTGAACGTGGTTTTGGAAAGGCCGGCTTGCCTAGTATCGCGATAGGTGCCATCACGACGGGTTAGGTTTTGGGTCGTGACAACGTTCGCGAAGGTCTAGCCCGCCTCACCTCCGCGTTTGCGAGACTGGGCTCGCGTTCGTGTAGAGTTACCTCAACTCCCTTGCCCCGGCTATCTAACGCTACATGTTCACGTGTGGCTGGTCGCGTTCGCGTAGAGCAGGCCCCCCAATTCTCCGCGTTCACGACCAAGCTTTCGCGTTCGCGTACAACAAAACCTCCCCCAGCCCAGTTTACCCTTCGTGATCGCGGGAGTATATTCGCGACCACGAAGAAGGAAAGACCAGAAACCAACAGAAGTGAAAACCAGCAAACTTTCTAAGTTCTAATCATCCCGTAGCCTATCTGAAACTCACCCGAACCCTCGGGGTTCTAAACCAAAAGTGCACACAAGTCCAAAAATATCATACGAACTTGCTCGCATGATCAAATAGCCAAAATAATACCTAAAACTATGAATCGGACACCAAATCAAATGAAATTTTCAAGAAAACTTTAAAACTTCTATTTTCACAACCGAACGTCTGAATCACGTCAAATCAACTCTGTTTCTCATCAAATTCGACAGACAAGTCATAAATATTATAGTGGATTTGTACCGTGCTCCATAACTAAAATACGGACCCGGTATCCACAAAACCAAATATCAATAAATTCTTAAAATCATTAAACCTTCAACTTCTAATTTTTCATCAAAATTCCATATCTCGAGGTATGGACTTCGGAATTTGATTCCGGATATACGCTCAGGTCCCAAATTATGATACGGACCTACCGGGACCACCAAAATACAGATCCGGGTCCGTTTACTCAAAGTATTGACCAAAGTCAACTCAAATGATTTTCAAAGCAATATTTCATATTTTTCACAGTTTTTAATATAAAAGCTTTTCGGAAACACGTCCGGACAGCGCACGCAACTCAAAGAGGGTAAAAATGAAATTTTTAAGGCTTCAGATTACAGAATTAGGTTTTAAAATATAAGATGACCTATCGAATCATCACAATTAAATATACAAAAGAATGTATATTTTACTTGAAAAGGCGAAAAGGTAAAGATACACCGCACCTATAGCATGACTATGATGGAACGTACTTGGATATGTAAATATAATATTCTAGCTACTAATTATTTAAAACTAAAATCAATAATAATATAAAGTTATTATTAAACAATCGAAAATCAGATAAAAAGTTAATAATACTCTGTATAATACAAGTAGCCTAAATAGAGTCTTAAAAATAATATCTAAAATGGAGGGATGCCAAAAGAATTTTAAAATCAAAAACTAACTTGAAGAGAATAAATTAAAGAATTGAAGGACAAAATTCTTAGCTTTGTAATCTTTTATTTTGGAGACAAAGATCTAAAGTGTATTTGTTACTACTTGTAAACAACACAACGAAAAGAATATAAAATTAGAATTTAGTTTGAGAAATTACTATGAGTTAAAATTTGGATATTTAAGTTTTTAAAAAGTATTGCTAAGCAATTTTTGCTCAAATTTAAAAAAGTTATCAGGTTTATGCCCCAAATGAACGCCCTGAACATTGGGACTTACACTTAAGCGAATGTCCGGAAGGTTGACGCTAACGCTCCATGATACTTACGCCCGTTAATACGTCTTGGTGCGTTTTTGGTAAGTCTTTGGATATTTAAGTTTTTACAAAGTATTGCTAAGCAATTTTTGCTCAAATGTGAAAAAGCTATCGGGCTTATGCCCCAAATGAATGTCCTGAATATTGGGGCTTACACCTAAGCGAATGCCCGGAAGTTTGAGGCTCGCTCCATGACACTTACGCCCTGCTAATACGTCTTTGGTGCATTTTTTGTAAGTCTCGCCCGAGGACTCTGGCCAAAATTAAGACATTGTATATAACTCCTATATACCTATCTCACTTTCTCCTTTTAACGATGAACCCTTTTCTCGCTCGGAATCCCCCCTCATCACCCAGAAAAGTGGGGGGGGGGGGAGGGGGGATACAATAGGTAACGATAGATTTAGCAATTTAACGAACATTAATGAGTCAAAAAAATGACGCTGCGGAGGAACTATTAATTGAGACACGCTAATTAAATAATTTAATTTAAAGTCATAACTTTGATTGCAACATATCTTGGGGAGTAGGGTAATGATCGAAATATAGAGTTGCAGAATCTTGTTAATCTGAATTTTAATACTTTTGGAAGGTAAATCTTTAATTAATTACAGTCTTGTTTGACTCTCATCTTGATTTCCTTATTAGTCCACCCCAAATCTTTCTATCATTCCGTTTTAATAAATTCTTCAAACCTCATTCTTCCTCCTCTCCTATTAGTTCCCAATCTCTCTCTTTCTCTCTCGTCACCCATTTCCTTAATCAATCATCATCTTCCTTCTGTAAAAACCAAAGCCAAAGAAGCCCCACAAATGTAAAACCACTATCCTCCAACAGTCCTTTCAAGAAAACCATTAGATTCCCATAAATAAAGGACTTAAAGTTCCATATTATCCAGCTCCCTTCATTCCCACCATTTTTTCCTCATTTCTTCTTTTCTCCATTTCCACAACCCAAAAAAAATAAATCAAATCTTTCACAAAAATGGGTGGAAAAAAGGAGGAAATTTTCAAACTCTAACACTTAGCTTTTTTCAAGAAAATCCAAGAAAGTTGCTTATTTTGCCTTGAAAACAAGAGATACCCAAATTGGGGTAAGCTCAAATCTCCAAGATTTCCCAAGAATAAATGTCCCAAATGAAGCACATTGACAATATCCCATCAACTCCTGGAAAGTTCAAGGAAAAATCCCCTTACAATAGGCTAAGGCTCCATTTTTCTTTAACCAAGCTCACATTTTGGTCATTTGTGTTCTTGGGGTTGATCTTTGTATTCTTTTTCAGATCACCATCTTCTTCTTCATCATCCCCTGCAGCTTCAGATCTCTCAAGGAGATCTCTTAGAACCAGCTCTTATGATGGTCCAGCTTGGGAGAAAAGGATTAAAGCTTCAGCTAAAGTCAGGTCACATTCTGGTATTTCGGTTTTGGTAACTGGTGCTGCTGGTTTTGTTGGGACTCATGTCTCCGCTGCCTTAAAACGTCGCGGTGATGGCGTTGTGGGGTTGGATAATTTCAATGATTATTATGATCCAACACTGAAAAGAGCCCGGCAAGCTCTTTTAGAGCGCACCGGGGTCTACATTGTAGAGGGCGACATCAATGACGTCGCCCTCTTGAAGAAATTATTTGATATTGTTCAATTTAGTCATGTTATGCATTTGGCTGCACAAGCTGGTGTTAGGTATGCCATGGAAAATCCTGGCTCATATGTGCATAGTAACATTGCTGGTTTGGTTAATGTTCTTGAAGTTTGCAAAAATGCTAATCCGCAACCTGCTATTGTGTGGGCATCATCTAGTTCTGTATATGGCTTGAATACTAAAGTGCCCTTTTCAGAAAAGGATAGGACAGACCAACCTGCTAGTTTATATGCTGCAACTAAAAAAGCTGGTGAGGAAATTGCACATACCTATAATCATATATATGGGCTTTCACTAACTGGATTGAGATTTTTCACGGTTTATGGACCGTGGGGTCGGCCAGACATGGCTTACTTCTTTTTCACAAGGGATATTTTGAAGGGAAAGTCAATTCCCATCTTTGAGGCAGCTAATCATGGCACTGTTGCTAGGGACTTTACCTACATTGATGACATAGTAAAGGGTTGTTTGGCGGCATTGGACACTGCTGAAAAGAGCACGGGAAGTGGTGGGAAGAAGAAAGGCCCTGCTCAATTGAGGGTGTTCAATTTGGGCAATACTTCCCCTGTGCCTGTTTCTGATCTTGTTAGCATTTTGGAGAGGTTGCTAAAGGTAAAGGCTAAAAGATCGGTGATGAAGTTGCCAAGGAACGGCGATGTGCAGTTTACTCATGCAAATATAAGCTTTGCCAAAAGGGAGCTTGGATATAAGCCTACAACAGATTTACATACTGGATTGAAGAAATTCGTTCGATGGTACCTCAGTTACTATGGCGATGGTAAGAAGAGTGCACAATGATACATTCTTTCAGTTATGTGGTAGGAGTTCAATTTCTTGTTCATTTTGATTCTTGTTATTGTTTTCAGCATATGTGCATTGCCCCCCATTTTCTTGCTCTCATATATGATGCGATAAAAGGAGCATATCCGATCCCACGATGAAGTAGTTGTGTGATAGTTGGACATTGTTTTTATGGCAATTTATTTTGTATCAAATGCAACCTGAAACCAACTTTTGCCACTTCCAGGAATGCCACTGTTGTAGTTTTATAGAATTCATGATTGATAGAAAACTGCTGATTATGGACAGTGGACATGTACCATCTTTATTACATTATAATAAAAGTACCACATGATAGTTCCATATTTGAATTCTTTTTGTGTATATCACATTTGGTTGGAATGTCTCTCGCTTGTTGGAGTATGATCTTGTGTTCTAAGGGGTCGTTTGGTATGATGGATAAGCAAAAATAATCCTGGGATAAAAATTTAGTTTCGTCTTATCCCTTGTTTGGTTATTAAACCTGGGATAAGTTATCCCAGGATTAAAAATAGTACCGGGATAACTTATACCTGCCAAAGGGTGGAATAGCAATCCCAGGATGAAACAATAAAATTGACAATCCCATGATTAATACAACATACCAAACAGTCAATGAGAAATAATACCAGGATAACTAATTCCAGCATAATTAATCCCAGTATAACTAATCTCAACATAACTAATCCCAACATAACTTATCTTCAAACCAAACGACCCCTAAGTGTGCCGATTTGGTTAATCCATTATGCACTAGTATTTAGATATCTATTCCCTTTCTGATCTTTGAATCAATCATTCCCTCTACATGATTTCTGAAGTTAGACATCTTATTTTGGCTCTCAGATGAAAGATTCTACTATTTTTAAAAGTTAAACCGTTTAGAGTCATTATATAAGATGATTGCATTGGTTCTTTTTACTATGCTTTCTATAGTTTCTTTCTGGAGAGGGGAAAGAAAAAACCATTTGAAGCTGCAAATGTAACATATACCTAACAATGATGCTTTATTGGTAATAGTTGCAACATACACCAAAAATGACAAATTATGAAATCATTTTTCCTATGGTAGCACAAGAGAAGAGCGATTACAGATATCATCATCTTGTTAAGAAACCAGAAGAAGTGAAATCCCAACTCCAGCACTTCTCTAGCCTTCTTTCCTTTTCAAATTAATATTTGTACAACATTGTTGCTGGCTTATAAGAAATCTTGTCCTCTTTTTCCCAGAAACGAAAAAATGAACGGCTCCTGTTTTTCACTCTGCCCTTTTACACAATGATGTTGGGGGAAAAACAGGACAATGATGTGGAAGAAGAAGGAAATGTGAGTACATGTAAACAACTTCTAAATTTTACTTTAGTAGCTACAAAGAACTTAGCCATATTTTTACGAAAAGAAAGTCTGATTTATTGATTAATTAGATGATTAAGTGGTAGGATAGTTTGATGTATTGAAGATACCTTCTGATAGGTATAGTTCAATACTAGCATAGAATGAGACATGAAGTGTAAATGAAATGAAACTATTTACTTCCAGAGTGTCAGTTTCTCTTGTTGGAGTTGCTGCAATGCAGTGTGCAGAGGCAGAAGCTAGATTATTAGTTACGGGTTCGGACGAATTCAGTAGTTTTTGCTTATACCCTATATTTTTAAATGTATATAAATATTTAATTGAAAACCTAGTAACTAAGACGAGCTATGAATTTGGTGTCAACTTAAGAACCCGGTTTCGCCTCTATCAGTGTGCCAGTGTCCTTGAAGCTATACGTTGTGCACAAAATGACAAAATACAGGAATTCTAAATCTAAATTTCCTTTCCAAAAAGGACATGAACACATGACCTTTATTCTTGTAATTTTGTTCCCCTTTTCCTCAAGCATAGTTGGTGATTTCTCTAAAAGTTGTCTAATCGTATTCCTTTTTCTCTTTTTTTATTTGTATACATAATGTCCCATCGGATTCCTATTAGTCCTTTCTTTTGGTTTCAGTGGACCATCCACCAGCTGTTTTGATGTTTTGGAAGTTATTCTTTTCTTACATTGAAAGATTTTTGTATCTTTAGTGACCTTGCAATGAAAAGAAGAAAGTACGTAAACTGAGCATACAACATAAAGATTCTAAAAAGTCTCTTGAATTCGAATGGGAACAAGACAAAATAAAGTAGTATTTTACTTCATTTGAGCCCCGTTTCTTTATACTATAGTTATTAAAGTCTGTCAAGAACAAGAATAGAAAATTATTGGTAGGCCAAACGTGAGATAGGTTAAGTGGTTGGATTCTGCGAGAGTGATGGAGCATAGTTCATTTTCGTCTATCTGCTTATTATTATTGCCTTTCAACTATTTTGCTTTGAGGGTGGTCTGTTTGAATAGTAAAGCAGCAATAATGCAGGTTCCAATAACTAATGAACAGGGGCAAATTGATATTGTCAATTCTAAATTCCAAACTGCTTCCATGTTTTTTCCAGTAGGTGTCACAAAATGCATGAAAGTCACAACACTTAATAGGATGGAATAAGAGAATGAGTCTGCATATATTTGGTTTGGTTGGACATGATATTCTTTTCCACCAAAGGGAGTTAATACCAAAAACTTAAAACCAGAGTAGCCACACGAGTCCAGCTTATAATTTTTCCTTTAAGCATAAGCCTCAATGAATACCAACATATGCAAAATATGCTAGGGGAAGTTTTCTCTGTCTAAAGCCTTAGAGTAGAGTTACCTGTGTTGAAGCCTTAGTAGACAAAATTATCCTATAGGTTGTTAAAAGAAAATTCTAGTAAAATGTTAAAGGAACGGTTCCATGCAAACACTTTGTGAAAGGAGAGAGGCCATTAATAATTATACCTATTATCAACGAAAACCCACTAGCCGCGAATTAATAACTGAATGCACACTGTATTCTTTCTGTTTCTCTAAGTGATATACGGAAATATAAGCAAGCTCAATTGGGTCTCACGAGGGCAGAAACTTCACTTGACGAGAATTTGGCAAGATGAGAATTTAAAAACATAGATAAGCAAAAATTATACGTACCATAAATAACAAGTCTGAATGTTAAAATCCTGAATAGGAAACTTAAATGAACCCTATCATCCGCTCGAGCACATAATTTGTTACAATTGAAGTATCCAGGCCATGCCAAAACAACTTAAATCTAGAATTTTCAAGATATGACTTGACAAAGAAAGTAGAGCATCGCATGCCCTGACTTCTCTATGCCACGAGAGTACTGGCAGTGGTNGTATTAAAGTGTGTTTCACAAAATTAGATTTGTGCAGACAAAAAGAGCTCCAGCTTCGGCAGATGTCCAACTCACATGACAGGGAAGAGTAAACACTGTTGCTTCTGATTAAAAGTGTTTAACAGCTTTAAAGCTGTGATGGTGATACCATTGAGCTCCATCTTAGAATTTAGCCGTTTGCTTAAAAAGATAAAGAGCTTGCAAAAAATGTTTTTCAATCTAGAAAAACCCCACCTAAGTAAACCAGAACATGAACAAGCAACCTGACAAAAACCCATACCCTGCTACTTCCCTCCCTACAAAGGACTAATGATGCCATTAGAGGACTAAGCCGCACAAACACATCCAAGCATCCTGCACCTGTCTGCAAATCTGAACGCACAGCACATGGTATGGTATCTTGTATGAAACCAAACCTTAATAATATTCAGCAAATACAGTTTGAAGGGTCGGGCAGGAAACATGAAGATTTCCATAAACTTCTCTCCATTTGCTTTCATTAATATTTGAAAGAAGAATGTATGTTCTTTTGCCAGACTAAAGCAAGAAAAAGAAGTGGTGCCTTCAGCATATATATACTGCAGTAACTATAAACAACCCATTTGAGGACAACTTATCCTTGAGACCAAATTCTTTATAGCAAGTGTAAAAATTGTTCTCTGGAACCACACAAGATCTACAACTTGAAATAGTCTATCTATTACTACACCGGAAAGAGAATAACCATAATGCATTGACAGAATCAATATTCTCCAACCAAAATAAACATTTCCACCAAATTTCCAAGGACAATTAACAGAGCATGCTTAGATAAATAAGTCAATTCATAAAAGCATTGGACATATTCACAATTTCACATATATTTGCAAATATATTATTTGCAAATGCAACATAAAGCTTGATTAAAAAGGTGAATCAGAAGCAATTCACTAGTAGAGTCAAATAGGCAGACTGGACTTACTACTTCCA